TTCCTAATGAAAATTTTACTGGATCTGGTCCGCCTCCGATGCCCGGATTTTTTATTTCGCCTCTGCAATTTGACTTCTTTTCTAGTCAGTAATAAGATGCTAAAATATGAAAGTGGCAGGATCCCTAATAAAGAAGTTGTTGGAGCTGTGCCGCCCCGGAAGCCCAGATTTATTTTGTCTCTGCCATTTCACAAATTTTCTATTCAGTAATAACGTACTGAAATATAAAGATGTCAGGATTTCTAATAAAAAAGTTGCTAGAGCTGCGCCGCCACTGACGACCTGATTTTTTATTTCGTCTATGCCATTTCACTTCTTTTCTAATCAATAATAACGTGCTGAAATATGAAGGTGGCACAATTTCTAATAAAAAAATGGCTAAAGCTGCGCCGTCCCCGACGCCAGTATTTTTTATTTCGTCTTTGTCTTTTCACTTGTATTCTAGTCAGTAATACCGTGCTGAAACATAAAGATGTCAGGATTCCTAATGAAAAAGATGCTTGAGCTGTGCCACCTACAATGCCGGGATTTGTTTATTCATCTCTGCCGTTACACTATCTTTCTAGTAAGTAATGAAGTGCTGAGATATGAAGGTGGCATAATTACTTATAAAAAAGTTGCTGGAGCTGTGCCACCGCTCAGATTTTTTATTTAGCCTCTACCACTTCACTAATTTTCTGCTGTTTCTCAATCAAAAATACTGTGCTAAAATATGAAGGTGGCAAGATCCCTAATATAAAAATGGCTGGAGCTGTGCCGCTCCCAAATTTTCGATTTCATTTCTAACATTTCACTTGTTCTCAATCATTATAACCATTTCTAAATGATTTTCACATTAGTGAGAAAAGAAAAAATTTGAAAGAATTGCTGAACTTTATTGCCAAAGTAACCGAGGTGGCAGCTATACCCAAAATTATATCTGATAAAACATTCAACATCACAAAAATCGTTTTTGATATTTCGTTTCACAGAAAATTTTTACACTGGTTATGATTGTGATGTAAAACCACAATTGGTACCAGTGAATTTGTACCTTATCAATTCCCCTCTAATCTGTTGAATTTGCTGAAGGGATGTATTTATTCTGTATTATATATTATAATTTGCTATTTTCAAGTCCAGTACTTTCTGTTTGCTTTATTTCAACTCAATCGGGTAGGCTCAAAATTTTTGTTTCAAGAGTATGACAAAGTTCTGGTGAACGTAATATGTCTAAGACATCGTAGTTACTGACTTCAAAACTTACTTTTTCCAAAACAGCTGCAAATCCATTTCGATCTGATGTGAATGGCATCTGATGCACAATACCGGTTTTTTCAGTCAAATGTTCCACCATGTCTTGTAAGGTATCTTCTTTCACTGAAATTAGATTTTATCATTTACAAGCTTCTCAGGAATATATCAGACTTACTTCGAATTCCACTGTCTGAAATAAGAATCAGTTCATATGTGGTTGATTCATATGCTTTGTTCATATTATTAATTTTTGGATTAACTCCTACTGTAGAACCACCTATGAAAATATTGCTTTTAACTTTAGGATATTTTTCAATTAAAGCATTCACCACATCCAGAGAGGGGTCCTTCTCATCCTCAATACAAAAAAATATTTCATACTGAAAAACAAAGGTATAAAGAAAATCAATTTATTGATTTAAAAAGTTATCTAATGTTTACCATGGGATATGTCATTGTAAAAAAGGTTTCGAGGTTTGAAACTAAGTGAGGATCCACCCCCATCAGTGGTTTCAGAATTGAGACCCCAGGAAATGGTTCATCTGTTGGTATGGAATTAAGTTTTCTATGCAGCCTATATTTACTAAAAAAATGAAATTTATACATAACAATTTTAGACAGGCCCCAAATAGTACATCAATTATATATGTAACCCAAAGTAGTTCCAGAAAAAATATGACAAACATCTCACAAACTACCTGCATAAACTAGTACAGAAACAAGATTGTTAGAATGGGTGTCATTAAAAGATGAGAGTAAAACACAATAAGCCCAAGAGGTTGTAGTATATTCTACAGTCAGATAGCTCATGAGCAGTGAAAAAATATAGGGCAACAATCAACATTAGTGAAGAATGATTCAGCTGCAATAACAAATAAATCTGAAAATATTGAAGAGTCAGTTATATTTATGATATCTATGAAAATTTTTATTATTTTTTTTCAATGACACCATAATGTTATGAGGGCAACCCAGTCTGTCCAAAATAATGCAGGTGGGCCAAGTATCCGAGTATGTAGACTTGAAATAATTCAAGTCTACAGTCCATTGAATTATTTCGCTGTTCATGAACAAAGTTGGTTTTTGAGCACAATTATAATGATAGAGTTGTTTTAAAATCCTAATGACGGTGGTCCGGCCCTGATTTTTGAAAAATTTATGAAATTAACAAGAAACTTACCCATAAACTATCGCTATTAAATGTACTAACCACATAGCACACCAGAATATAAAAAAAAATAGTGCAAATCCATATAGAGTGTAAATCATTGGCGCCTTTATAAAAAAAAAATAATCCAAACATGCTATCCAAAAACAATCATGTTTCACAACCTTAAAGTTGAGTCACTTGACAATTTGACGTTTAATAGATAATTCCAGTAAGTGCTGCCAACATCGTTTCGCGGATAGAATACCTCTGACATTTTCTAGGTAGTTTTTGAAAAAAATTGCAATACGAAACGATATTTTGAAATGGTAGTCGACATTCATAATTATATAAAATTTGATAATATAAACGTCAATAATTTGGCATCTGTAGTCACAGAATTTGCTATTCTGTGGTGGAGTGGCCAGCATGTGTCATCCTTAAAAGCAATGTTCCGCTGTTAACCTGAATTTTTGACAGCTGAAAAATATATGTTACTTTTCAAATAAGACATTTGTGTCAGCGGAACATGTTTTAGACTTGGAAAGGTGTCTGGAAGGAGAGAGTGAAAGAAGGAAAGGGAGATTGGGATGAGGTAATTACGGAGTATAATGAGATAGAGCAAACATGGGGTGCCTTAGATAATGAGTGGGCACACTGAGCGATGCTAGACGAGTAGGTGAGCAGGTTGCGGTATGGGTCATCAGTACAGAAATTATTAGCTTTTGTACGGTCAGTTCGGTGTCATACCGGAATGGACTGAACTTCGGTCGAGACTTGATATAATCTTCCGACCTTCCAGTGTTCATAACCGACCAGCTTATGTAGATAATGAAGGGGTAGGGGCATAGTATAAAGATAAAAGTATAATAAGACAGTGGCTGTAATAAACTCGTTTGATGAAATTTCGCGCGCTATCTAGTACTTTAACGTTCGTTCTTGATATTTTTGCCATGAAAATAGCGCGTACCGAGGCGCCATCTGAAACAAATGCTATTATTTAAAGGAACTAATGAATTTAGCTTGTAAATGGTAGATAACAGTTATCACGGGTATATGGTCTGTGGTTATCACCCGGGTGATAAAATTTACGAACGACAACCCTCAAAAGTCAAAACTTGTGCGAGCTAAGGACTAACCAGGTCTTACCTTTTAACGTGTGATTCCCAACACGGGTTGGATGATAGCAAGTGAAAATCGTGCCTTCAGCCTGCGGCTTGAACCATCAACTCACACATCAGCCGATTGACTGAGTGAACGAAGCACCCACGTCGAACCGCCCGGCTACCGACTTACATTTGGTGAAAAAACATTTGAGTGTTGTCAAACGAAACCAAACAAGTATCCAACATGTGTGGTGTGAGGTATTAGCTATCATGTGCTGTGAAAACGAGTCTGAAATGCATCAAAATCTGTGGCAGCAGGGTAAACTGTTATACTTTTAACTTCAACCAAGTCCGTGAAGATAGGGAGACGAATGAAAATGAAAATCAGAAGATTGATAATGAAAAGCTAAAGATTGAAAATGAAAATGAGATGCTAAAAAATATCATAAGCGAAAAAGATAATGAGTATACTTTGCATATGGAGAATAATAAATTATTACAAATCAACAATAACCCATTGCAAGAAAAGATCGATTCATTAAAAGTAGGTAAGAGTAGGTTCTATTCAAAGTAATTATCTTACGCACGAGGACGTCAGTACCTTTTCCTTGATCGCAGAGCGACAAACCCTGGGCACCGGTGGTTTTTCTGTAAGTCGAGTAGCTAGAGAACTCCAACTGTCACAGAGGATAGAGTCCTCAAATTGCGAAAACACACCGCGAAATAGTTTAATTGTTCTGAATCGTTTAAGGGCTTCAAGCACTCGGAGTACCACAAGGATGGATCAGGAAACCTTTGAGAGGGAAAGTCAGGAAACGTTACTGCGAGAAAATGGACAACGTTTAGGAGAAGAGGTATTGTCCAGGACAAGGAGCAAGCCCTAGGTTAATTTTCATCAATTGCTTGAAATGCGAGCACAATTGACCACGCCGAAGTCGGCCCCGACAAGGAATCATCCACAGAGCGAACCCCAATTAGGGCTTCGCGCGATGATAAATATGCGAGTACGATCTCCTACGTCGAAATCAGCCCCGAAATCGACAAAATCGCATTTTCAAACATTCAGCGCCGTTTGTCCAGAAAGAGCTTGAAACTGGCTTTCTAGTGGCCAGTCCACAAATCACACATACCAACCACCACCGGCAGACGAGCTAGTCGAGGTACCATAACCTAACGTCGTACTCAGGTCCAGAATGGGTCCCGAAATCCCTGGGACCCAGATCTGGGAGGCAAGGAGGCGAAGTCGCGTAAATGTGACCGGCGGGGCGGTGTTGTAGAACGCGCCCCCGCAACCGAACCTTTTTACCAGTACGGAGGAAAAAACATTTGATAAAAAAAAAGTGTTGTCAAACGAAACCAAACATGTGTGGTGTGCGAAAATAGCTATCATGTATCATGTGCTGCGAAAACCAGACTGAAATGCATCAAAATATGTGACAGCAGGATAAACTGTTGTACTTTTAATATTAACCAAGTACCCCCATCAGTGGTTTCAGAATTGAGACCCCAGGAAATGGTTCATCTGTTGGTATGGAATTAAGTTTTCTATGCAGCCTATATTTACTAAAAAATACATTTCAAATAGGTTACCAAATTCGTGTTATAGGTATTCAATTGTCATTTCAACAATTCTATGTATAGAAACGTTGCAGGTTCAATAAACTCACCTCGACCTAATTATATATTACTGCAACCTTTTCAGTACATTGAACTGTTTGCAGTTCAAATATATAACAATTAGATAATAAGTGATGAGCAACCAATTTTGTATAACCCCGATTCTGACGAGATCATTAGTGTGCATGTACTCTTCGATGTAAGATGTCAACTTTGATACGAATAAAACGAAACTCTTGGTAATGACTGGTTTCAATTAAACTACCTGGAAAACCCAATATTTCATGGCGATCCTGCCAGTCCAGTCCAACCAGTGTCCATTTAAAGCGAAATATTAAAAGAAATGAGTCATCCTGGCTTATTACCACAGTTAAACTAGTTCTCGGCATCTTATGTTTATCCAATACGGTAAAGGTTGAGATGACATAATTAGCGAAAGTCGCGTGAAAAAATGTTTAGTTCTTGTATGTCTGAGAAAGAGATAACACGTTTGTCTGAATTGTTTTATGACTTTGTCATTTAAAATACATGTAATATATTGGAGATTATTCTGAAGGGTTTAAAAAAGTCATTTTTTTTTCATATAGGTAACTGATCCAAAAACGGCTTTTAGTTTGAAATTTTCAGTGGCCGCCAACCAGTATAAAAAAAATATGACTTTTTAATTATCGGCCAAAGGGACCGAGAATTAGTTAAAACATTCAATATTTGCCTTTCAATTGAATTATCAAAATAAATCTAATATTTTTTTTATCATAATTTGTATACTTATATGCGCTCTTTCGCACATTGGATTGCGGCCGTCAATTAGTTTCTATATTTCAATTTACTTCGATTATAAATTGACTCTGTGGTAATTCGACCTAGGCCAAAAAAGAGGCGAATAATGTACCAATACTCTGAAGAAGATTTGAAAAATGCCTTGCATGAATTCAGAGTTAATAAAATGAAGATAAGAGAAGCCAGTAGAAGATTTAAGTGATCATGAATTACCATAAAGTAAACACGGCATCAATCACACATATAAGATTTAATGTCCCAAGGGCAACAATTCAGGACAGGCTGACAGGGAGAGTACCGGATGAGTTGAGAAGACCAGGACCACCACCACTATTGATCGTTGAAGGGGCAGAACGAATTAAATGTGAGTTTCCCATAAAGAAACAGATGCTACTGGATACGGTTTGTAAAATAAATGCAGATTCTGGTCTAAATTTATTTAAAAAGGGAGCACCAAAACAAACATGGTATATGAACTTCATGAAAAAGAATCCAGAGATATCTCTCAGGGAAGCAGAGGGAATCAATAAAACTCGAGCAGCAGTAACAGAACAATCTGTGAGAAATTGGTTCAAGAAACTTGAACAGTTTCTGAAAGATAATGAATTCTCTCCTATACTGGAAGATCCTAGAAGAATTTTCAATGGAGATGAGTCTGGTTTCGCCCTATGTCCATCTAGTGGTAAAGTTTTAGGACCAAAGGATTTTAGAAGTCTTCTAACCGTTAAACAAGGGAATGAAAAAAAACATAACAGTTCTCATTATGTTCAATGCAGAAGGAAAATTTGCCCCTCCCCTAGTTCTCTTTCCTTATGTTAGACCTCCTCGAGCTGTCGTCGATAATATGCCAAATGGCTGGATTTTGGGAAAGTCCGAAAAAGGGTGGATGACATCTGATGTGTTTTTTGAGTTCCCGAGCAACGACTTCAATACCTGGTTAACAAGAGAAAATATTCCAAAACCTGTCATTCTCTTTGTAGATGGGCACAAATCTCATCTTACTATGGCGACAAGTGAGTGGTGCCATAATAATCAAATAATTGTATACGCTCTACCTCCAAACACTACCCATATGCTGTAAACAGCTGATGTAAGCGTGTTCAGGCCAATGAAGTCAGAGTGGCAAAAAACCGTATGCAAGTGGCAAAGTAAACCAGAGAGTTTGAATTGTTCCGTGACAAAAGTAAATTTTTGCACTGTTTTTAATGAAATACTGTCCGAAGCTGAACAATTCAATCTGTAAAAATGATCAATGACTACAGGTCACTTCAGAACCAGTGACCAGAACAAATGAGGATAATTATATTGATGACACTGAGTTAAATACCAACAGTGAAGTAAAAATTCCAAATGAATTTGACATTACGACTACTTCTGATATGATTATTATCGACATGAATAGTATGAATATTGAAAATTGTATAACTACTTAGTTCGTTTATGAAAGCTATTGAAAATGATCTTCCGATAATAAATATTTCTGGAATATCCGTAATGTCTACAGAAATTGCAACTGACGGTGTTTATGAAATACACGAAAATCAAAATGACAATGATATGCTGGAGTATGAGGATGAAAATAACAATTTTGGAAAAGAAGACACTAAGAAAGACAAAATAAATATCGAATATGGAAAAGAAAATGACATTCAGACACAAACAAATGATGAAAAAAGGTAACACGATGATAAGCAAGAAAATAAAATTGACGAAGAAAGCGCTAACAACGAGAGAAATCAAAATGGCAAAGAAATACTAAAAAATAACGATAAAATAAAAAACCCGAATGAAGAGAAAAATGAACAAAATATTATTTCATGAAAGACAGAAAATCGGTTACAGGAATATGAATACAAAAACAAAAATGATCATAAACAAAATAAAAATTCTAGTGAAAAAGCAAAATGCAAACTACATGATGCATTTGCAAACCATCTAACTCATCCCTAACCAATGGAACGAAATAAAAATAACAAGAGGGTAAAGAATGAAAATGCATCCAGTGCAATTAGTAGTGATAATGGAGGGAATATTACAAGAGAAATGATGAATAGAAGAAGCTCAAAAAATTGGAGATAGAAAAACGTAAAGAAGAAAGAAGAAAAATAGAGGCAATAAACTAGAGAAGAAATTAGCAAAGAAAAAATCTACTAACAGAATGAATTCAAATGACAAGTCAAGAAGAAATGAGAAAATACCATGTAACTTATGCAAAGATGTACTAAACAGTGACACAGAAGACGAAGATAGGATGCGACTTGTGCGACAAATGGTATCAAAAAAGTGTACTGAATTTTACGAGATTTCGTATAGCATTGCTGCCGCCAAAGATTACAAGCACAGCTTACTTACTATACAGCTAAAACACTCTCTTGGCGGGAACGGTTTGCGTCGATCCCCTCGCGCAGGCTTTATGCCCCGCCTCTTAGGGGAAAAGACGTCTATGGCGTGCAGTCGGGAGATCAGTATTACTTATTATACGTTTAGCCGTCATAGGCGGGTGTATAATTTTGTGCATTTTGTTTGTGATTCTTTTGAACATAGTGTTTTATTTTTGAATTTTTAACTGTAGTAAAATGAGTGACAAAAAACCATCAGGACATCATCATGTTTGTGCAGTGCGAAACTGTTATATTAAAGGTTATAACTCGAAGAAGAAATTCTATCGTTTTCCTAAGGATGCGAATCGGTAAGTTCTTACATCATATTTTTTTGCATATTTAAGTAAATAAAAAGTAAACTTTTGATTATACCGTGTTGTCGTAAAATTGTTTGGGAATATATAAGATAAATTACCGTCAAAGCTGGTCAAAGCGTCAACTTCCAAAACCTTAAATATCACCCAGCTCTCGAAATAAGTACCTGCCTCTTCTTAAAATAGATCCACGTTCAAGTGGTCGAAAGATGCCCTTATATCCAAGAAAAAGTGGTATGCATTTCTTATGCGGGGACACATTATGCAGTATGTATATTTTTTCTGGGGAATTTACAGTATGCAAAAGCGTAGTGTTCTTTTAATGGGGTATTTTTTTTTGTTTTTTTTTTCGGGGGGTTTTTGTATGATATTTTTTCTATGGTGTTTTTCCTTGTTTTTCCTACATTACTATTTTTATATATATCAACGACTATTAATTGTAATGAAGCAAATAGGAATACAGGTTGTCCCTGACAAGAATGAACTCTACAGGGATCTCGTAAACCATTAGGGCTACAAAGTTGTTTAAGTTAGGAAAAAGTTGGGCCCCACTAAACCCTGCAGTATGATTTCGAATACTTCCGAAAATATTTTGGGAAAAACCGAATATTTGATGATGACTGCGGAGGAAGAAAACGTTGGGTTAAAAAGTGGCTATGAAACGTGAAATTTATTTTGTTTTATTGTTTTAAATTATCAGAAAAAGATAATAATGAAATTGGAATTTTCGGTTTTTCCCAAATATCTTCGGAAGTAATGAGAATTTTCCAAATTTTAAAACATCATCCGGCAGGGTTCAGTGAGGCGCAACTTTTCCTAATTTGAACATCTCTTTAGCTCTAATCGTTTATGAGATCCCTGTAGAGTTCATTCTTATCTGGGACACCCTAAATAGAGGTGTTGTTTAAAAATGTTTTTATTTATTTACAGAGCCAGAATATGGGCAATGAAAGCCAATCGCGAGGACCTGTTCGGAAAACTAATCGACTTACATCGAAGTTACTCGATATGTGAAATCCATTTTGAAGAGAGGATGTTCACTAGTCACTTTCATACACGATTAGTAACCACTGCAATTCCTACCCTATTCCCGTCTCTCGAGGGTACTTCCAGAACTGATCATTCGTATAGTGCACCGCCCTTGCAACTTCCTGCAAAAATACTACTTCTAGATGACAATGTTATAGTTCCAGGCGGGGTTCCACCTCCACTATTTGATTCAGGTATTAAAAATAGTTTCTTAATTTAAAATAAAGCTTAATGTTTTGNAGAAGACAAAATATGTTTTTAGTAAATAGTGTAGAAAACGAGGAATCAAATCAAAACAGCTCACAAGAGCAAACATTTTTTCGAGGCCAATAGTCTGAAAAATTATGCTAACTTTGATATACACGATTTAAACTATGTCAGATTCAATTACAATAATCAGGAAATTCATTTACTTCTCGACTCAGGTGCATCGATTAGCGCACTTTTCCACAAACATGTAAACAGACACTTGTCTACAATAGATTATTCAGACACAATAAAAATCGACGGAATTTCAGGGTCAACAAATACGCTAGGGTCATTATACTTACCTTTACAAGCCGGCAAAAATGAGTTCACACATAAATTCTTTATAATAGAATCATTTGACAATAACATACAAGGGATTTTAGGTGCAGATTTTTTCAAAAAATACTCAGCAATCATAGATTATGAAAATTTTGAGTTTTCTTTCACAGTTTATGGGAATAAATTTACAATTCCAATAGAGTCCAACTTCAATAAAAATACTAGTATTCCCCCGCGCTGTGAAATAATCAAGTACTTCAAGATAAACAAAAATTTGGAATGCATAGTATTTCCACAAGAAATAGCCAGTGGTGTCTTTGTTGCCGGATCTATTTCAAAACCGGTAGACGGAAATGAAATTCCAGTAAAAATTCTGAACACGCGAGAAGAACCAGTAGAAATTAAGAATTTTTCACCGAAAATTGCTGACGCTAAATTGTTCGAAATTATTCCTTACAACGACATGAATGTCTCATCCGTTCAACGAGTGGAAGAAGTTTTAAAATCAATTTGTAAAGACGGACTGAATGGAGAGGAAAAACGAGCACTCGACCATATCTGTGCGAAATTCGCGTACGTTATCCATTTACCCAATGATATACTTTCAGTAACTAACATTTATGAACATTCAATTCAACTCAAAGAAAACACAACCCCCGTGTACACAAAACCATACAGACTACCTCAATCACAAAAACTAGAAATTGAGAAACAGATTGAAAAAATGTTGAACGATAAAATAATAGAACCCGCTAGATCTCCGTGGTCATCACCACTACTAATAGTACCCAAAAAATCGGACGAAAATGCTGAACGCAAGTGGGGCGTTGTTATTGACTATAGATTACTGAATAAATGTCTGAAAGACGAAAAATTTTTTATTGCTATTGTTGATGAGATTTTAGATTCACTTTCAGGTGCAATTTATTTTTTCCGTCTTGACGTAGCAGAAGGGTATTACCAAATTGAACTCGACCCAGCTTCTAGAGGGTATACAACTTTCACTACGGATACAGGGCAATATCAAATGACCAGATTGCCAATGGGTGTGAAAATAAGTCCCAGTGTATTCTCAAGGGTTTTAACTATGGCTATGGCAGGTTTAAATTTTGAATGTTGTTTCGTTTACTTAGACGATATTATTATTCTGGGAAATAGTTTGATGGATCACAACAAAAATTTAACGAAAGTTTTGCACAGGTTGCGAAAGGTAATTTTAAAACTCAACCCGAGCAAATGTCAATTTTTGAGAAAAGAAATCATTTACTTAGGTCACAACATTTCAGCGTCAGGAGTATCTCCCGACCCGTCAAAAATTCTGGCATTACAATATTCAGTACCCAAAGACGCATAGGAAACGAAACGATTTGTAGCTTTTGCTAATTATTTCAGGTCGTAAATTCCAAATTTTGCTCATATAACATCACCTCTGAACAAACTTTCTAGAAAAGGTGAAAAATGTATCTGGACTAATGAATGTCAAGAAGCATT